GTATGTTTCTAACCCACCCTGCATTCATATTTAATGATAATTCCACTTAACTTCTTCTGCTTTCTGCTGCATGTTTTGAGAGTGTTTGTGCTATGCGTAAGCTAAACGGGACTGATGGAGAAGATGGATTCCTGAATAGTTGCTAATGGTCTAGACATTTCACTGTTTTGTCAACAAAGCCCTATTGTTGAAAGCAATGTTTTCTCACATGTCAATATCTCTGCCATGTTGTGTTGATATTAATGGAACTGCCAGGAAAGGGATTTAATTAATCATTTTCCCGAATAACTACTGCCAGTCCTGATTTCCCAGTTGAAGGCATGCAGGACAATAGAGAGTATCTTTCAGCACAGGTTCAGGCACCTGAATTATGCTAGGAGGATGTATTTGGAAAGTCTTGCTGAGATATAAGTTTGGTCTACTTGGTAAATAAACAGGGTTGTGATTTATTCCAAAAAAAAATTATCTGGAGCAAATATATTGTACTTCTACTTGGCAGTTATGTTTTTGCTGTGGTTCTGTTCTATAATGGGACATAGAAAATTTTCTGGAGTCTAGTGAAAACAGTGTTTAATAATACCCTGGTCCTCTGCCTATAGCCGAATAAAATAGTAACTGATGCTTTGTATTTATGTGTTTTTTTTCACCTGGTACATGGGATGAACCCAAGAGAACTTTAAAACAGCCCTTTTCATCTTCTAAGACAGGGTCTCTTGAAGTTGTTGAGACTAGCCTCAAAATTGTGGTCCTCCTGCTTCAGCCTCCAGAGCAACTGGGATTAAAGCATATGCTACAGTGCTTAACAAATTATGGACTTGAATCTTCAATATTATTTTACACTTTGAGAATTCAAAGAAGGGAGGAGAGAAGCATGACAAAGCTTCTTCCTCCCCACTTACTCACATATCCTTCCCAGATAAACTGGGGCTCTTTCCAGAGTTCTTGTTAGGCCATAACTATTACTGGGTTTTACTCTTCTGGTGAAGCCAGAGGATAACTACAAAAAGACATGAGTCACTGGGGACAGGGTCTTTTCTACTCCATATCTTGATATTATGGCCAATTCGACTTTCTGTTCTTGATGCAAACCAGAGGCTGTTAATATTCAAAGTTTTAAATGTGACTTTGAAGATAAATGTTCTCTAGAACTTTAAACTTATATACAAAAACATATCCTCCAAATCAGTTCTGCATGACAGTTTGGGGCAGATGACCCACTAATCATAAAGTAGTCTTTTGATTTCTTATCTCCTTTCTGTGTATCTTCCACAAAGACCCCATGAGCCGGAGGAAAGTTAGAGCCAAAACAAAGTCCAATGCTTCTCAACTGAATCCAGTTGAATGCCATCCCCACACTTACCTTATTTTACAAAAGGAGGCCAAATAACCAACTCTTAAAATATAGCCCCCACTTCACCATTACAGCAGCAAGTTCTTAATTCTTAAAGTGATTTTTGCATTAGTGTGTGAACTTCCTCCTAAGTAAAACCTTTACACAAAAAACAAGCACTTCCCAGAAGGAGACCCTCTGGTATAAGTAAAGAGATTCATTAATTTGTGAAGGAACAGTAAGAAACCAGCTTTAATTATTTTCCATTAAATCAATAAATATGAGCATGTTTTAGTCATCTAGAGACTAGCAGCAGGAGAGAAGAGGGAAATTTATGCCACCTGTGAAAATACATGCAAAGCCAGGTTCTGCAATAAATATATGTATCTTTAAATAAAATGAAAATATGCCCTATAAAAATAAATAAATGAAAGCAGCAATTGTTTCTGCAGTGACTGCTTTACCAAAGCTGTGTTTATTTTTCAGTCAGCTTTCACAAATATTCTGAAATGATAACAGTAGAAAAAGCAATTTTCCAAGGCCCCAAATTCCATATACTTCCTGACATAGGTAAACTCTTCATGGAAGTGACATGAATTCATGATGTGATGCACTGGTATCTACTTCCCAGGAGGAAAAAAAGTGAAATAGTACTAATTTTTAAGGCTAAAATTTGTAGAAAAAAAA